AGTACAGGCCCTGGGATGGTGGTTCTGCTTGTCCCCAACCTCCCAGGACATTTGGGTGGTCCGAAGCCACTGGAAAAGCTCCTGGGGTGTCCCCCAGCTTGTAGCCACCACAAACCCCCATAAGACCCTCCCCCCAGGATGGCCCCTGGGTTGGGTTGGGTGGTCTGTAGTGTGTGTGTCCCCCTTCCCAGCTCATTGGCTCCGAGAAGTGCCTGGAGAGGATCGAGCAGATGGTCAGTGAGGCCAAGACCAAGGCAGGAGCTGACCCCCAGGTCCCTCTCCGTGCCCTGGTGAGCCCCCACACTCTCCCCAGGGACTCCCCCAAGCCCCCCAGGGACACTGTGGGAGTGACAGTGCCCCTTGGTGGCACAGGGGCTGTCCCTGAGTGGAGGGGACCAGAAGGATGCCATTGGGAAGCTGACAGAGGAGCTGCACCGGCGCTTCCCTCACCTGAGCCAGAGCTACTTCATCACCACCGATGCTGTGGGGGCCATGGCCACAGCCACTGACCATGGTAGGGACCCCCTAACTGGGGGAGGACAAACCAACAGGGACATCCCAGCACAGGGAGGTTGATGGTGTCCACCGAAGTGGAAGAACTGGTTTGGCTGGGTGGACTCTTGGATGAGCGAAACACTGGCTGGTGGCCCAGAGGGTTGTGGTGGAGCTCAGTCGAATTGGGGTTGGTCACCAGTGGTGTCCCCCAGGACTCAGGTCCTCTTGAATGTCTTTATGGATGATGTGGACATTGGGATTGAGTGGAAATTTGATTACATTAAGTTGGGTTGGAGTGTGGATCTGCCTGAGGGCGGGAAAGCTCTACAGAGAGACCTGGACTGACTTGTTTAAAGGGCTGACCTGGACAGACTCCACCAATAGACTGAGGACCTCATGACTCTCTACAACTACCTGAAAGGATTGTAAAGAGGTGTGGGATGGTCTCTCCTGTCATGACTGCAGGGAGAGGACTAGAGGAAATGGCCCATGGTCAGGCATGGGAATAGGGAACTGCCCAGGGAGGTGGTGGAGTCACCATTCCTGGAAGTGTTTAAGAGGTGTCTGGATCTGATGCTGGAAGATATGGTCTAGGGGTTGCAGCAGTGACAGATTAGAGGTTGGACTTGATGATCTCAGAGGTCTCTTCCAGCCTTGATGATTCCATGATCTTAGAGGTCTCCTTCAAGCTTGATGACTTCATGATTCTATGATCTTCAAGATCTCCTCCAACCCTGATGATTCTATGATCATAAAGGTCTTCTCCAGCCTTGACGACTCCATGATCTTGGAGGTCTCCTTCAACCTTGATGATTCCTTGATCTTAGAGGTCTCCTCCAACCCTGAGATGACTCCATGGTCCTGACTGTGCCCCCCCCAGGTGGCATCGTGCTGATCTCTGGGACAGGCTCCAACTGCAAACTCATCAACCCTGACGGCTCCGAGACAGGCTGTGGCGGTTGGGGACACATGATGGGGGATGAAGGCTCTGGTGAGGATGAGGAGGACCATGGTGGGGGATGGTGGGAGGTCCCATGGGGGTGCTGAGCCAGCCCTGACCCCTCTGCAGCATACTGGATTGCCCACCAGGCGGTGAAGATGGTGTTTGACTGTATGGACAACCTAGAGGTGCCACCACATGACGTCAGCTACGTCAGGCAGGCCATGTTCGACTACTTCCAGGTGCTGCTGGGGAGGCAGG